GGTGAACCGGCAGATGAACATTGATTGGAAGTTATCAAACAATCGGTCTTACAATCTCGGAAATATTAAGGGCCTGCTCATGAAAACACATTCAGAGGAGCCGCAGTAAAGGTCTTTCTGCAGCTTTGCTGTCGTCGACGAGTACATATCACAGCCGTACTACTTCTTTTGGATGGAAGAGTCAGGTAAAGTGGTTTCTTTTCAACAGTTTTATTTGTTAATTTGGTATGCATCGCCTCATATGGGTCTCGAAAAATGGCTCCGGATTTCCATTTTCGAGATGCGTTTATTTGCTTTGTACGAGTTCGGCTATCATGGTGTCTTCGCTGCAGATTTTGTATGCCTGATCGGTTAGTGTTCGTAGCAGCGTTCTTTTTTTGGCTCTGGGGCGAAGCCATAGAAGTTCATGTATTGTTCCGTCCAATATGGTTTCCCGTATACTTTTATTTGGATTGATCCGTCCGTTCTTCTGATAAGGTTTGCGTCCAAAAACTTCATTTGATTTTTGTGGTGTTTTCCTCAGCTCTTAATACGGCGGCATTAGGGTGCGCATTGTTGAGGCAGTCCATTCTATCTTGGGGTTGGGTGGTCCGATCACTTATACAAAATATATCATCCACATAACGCCGATAGCATTTCAGACCTGACATGACCTTTTTCAATGGACCGCTATCTCACATTTCGATATAAATATCCGCTAAGAATGGACCAAGCAGACATCCCATTGCGACACCATCAACCTGTCTATAAAACTTGCTATTAAATTGGAATTGAACACTGTAGGTACATCTGAGTATCAGTTGTTTGAGTTGGATGGTTCGTATACCGATGTTTGTGCCATATTGATCACTATACGAGCATATATAGTTAATCGTTTCTATCAGTGGCACGTTGGCAAACAATGAAACAACGTCTAAGGAAAACACTAGATACATTTGGATATTTATATCTGACCATCGTTGAAAAACTGGAATGTATCTGCCAGTGTATGAGGAGCAATCATTTGCCTGATGGGATCCAGCAATATTGTCAGACATTGCGTAATATTGTGATACGGCGAATTCCCACTATCTAGTATGGGCTTCAATGGTGTGTCAGTTTTATGTAGTATTGTGAGGCCATAAATGCGAGGAGTGGTAAAGCCTATGAGACGAAGTTGGTCGTACGTATCTCTGGTGATGTTGTCGTCCCTCAATAGTCATTTCAAATTCCTAACCAATTATTATTCTACGCAGTATGTTTTGTCTACTTTTTGTTCACATTTCACGAAACGTAAAATATCTGAATGTATCCTTAGTGAACTAGTCGATTACAGCATTAAAGACACGTGTGTTGATAGAATACGGAATTTAAACGTTGGCGGGTAACATGATCTCATTCGATGTATGCTCGTTGTTCACATATTTGTGGGACACCTGGAAACTTCCACCTTGCTGCCTCGTATACGGAATGCGCACTTTAACCTGTGTACCTCTTTCACTGTATTTGCGGTAGTAAGTGCAGAGGCCGTACTGAGAGAAGGCTGTCAGCGAGAGCCGCAGAGCACCTTACACCTAACATGGTTGCATAGGGTCCCAAGCTACCTATCAGTTCAAACGCCTGCACATACTCGATTGCTCCGCGTGCCAAAGCCCTCGCAGATCGTTCAGCGTAGTTATTGAACGAGGAGACTCTATACCATTTCCCACCTATGTTGATGAATAGTTAAATTAAATTCGTTTAATCATGAAACGAGCTCGTTTGTTACTCTAACAAGTCCGTGGCGTTGGCATCGGCCGTGATTGCGCGCATTGTTCTAATGCATGTAGAGAATCACAATATCTCTTACTCAGTGTTTTCATTCATATGCTGGAAATCAGTTCCCATATTTTATTATGGCTTACTGTATATATGATAGAGTAGCGAAAATGTTGGTTCTGTGATAAAATGCTCTAAGTTTCTTCAGTTTGTCTCCGGCATTGTTGAGTTGGGTATGTTTGTCGTACTGCCTATAGCGGCTGCTCCTTACCACAGGTGCCAGTACATCTGTACATACAGAAGCCTCGCTGAAAATCCACCGGCAGCCATAGCCGAATTATTGGTGGTTCACAACGATGACTCCTAATTCAGTCATGAGGCTTGTTGCTCGGCCCCAGTTATTTTTGAGTTTCATAGGCGATCTGGCAAGGAAAATTACTTCCGGTTTCCTGTTCTCCGTGGAAGGTATGGAGTTATGGCGAGCGAGCAGAGAATCAAACGACTACGGAGGCTCCAGCTTGGCCTCAACATGACTTTTAACTGGTTAGTTCTGAATGCAATAGTATTAAACGTGAAAAGTGTCACCCTGTTCCATTTCACCGTAAATATGACTACGTATATAGACTTGGGTCACATGTATTACAAACAAGTTCCCATTAACGCGACCTCCGTATGCTCATTCAAAGTGACCTTAACTGTTCAAGGCAGCTAGAGGCAGCTGCCAAAAGAGCCAACCAACACGTCGGCTTGTTGCGAACAGCATTCGCAAGATGCGACCCATCCACCTTACTCTTGATGCACAATGCTCATGTACGCCCTCACGTTGAATACGTCATGCAAGCTTGTCAACCTTGGTTGAAGCGCGATTTAGAAGTGCCTAAGATACCACTACGCAGGGCCACAAAGAACGTCAAGGGCCTACGAAATCTGTCCCACCAGCGAAGGCTGAATTCACTGGGAGTTTTCAGTGGCCGCTACCGAAGGCTGCGCGGCGATCTCATATTAGTCTGCCGAATATTGAGTGAGACTAATCACATATGCTCTCACTTGCTGAAACGCAGCCATAACACCAATCTCAGAAGTAACCGTCTGAAATTATGTACACAGTGTAGCCGCCTGGAATGCCGGGGGAACTATTTTCCTCTTCGGGTTTTCAAACCCTGGAACTTTCTCCCAAACTTTATTGTCTCCTCCCACAACTTGGGAGATTTCAAGAAACGATTGGGACTTGCCCCTGGCCCCAATCACTTCTTCGCCTATACTACGCTAGTTTAGAATATAATAATTATCCCATCAAGCCGGATTAATATTTCACATTAGCCTGAAAAGCCTGTACAAATGTTAGTATTCTCGTTATTGTTTTACTCACGGAGTACATGAAATATTACCGTCCCCATGTTGTCTCGTCGTTCGCATTCAATTCCCAGGTACACTGCTATTATCAAGCAGCGCATATGCTAGATAGACGCTCAAACAGACAAAGCACACATCGTTTGACATTGTAAACCTACTTGCACTATTCTGCGGCACTTGTCAAGCAAATGCTTTTTACACGGCATAAAGGATTGCTCATTGTTCAAATGCCCTGGTAATACAAAAGTGCTTAGCATTCACGCCACTTTGAGGAATCGATATCAACAAATGAATTTTAAATAAACCATAATGTTGTTAACTATAGCGAATAAACGTTTTAGCAATTTTGCGGAACTTGAATGAGTTTAATGGATTCTTTTATCAGTGAACTAAACAGTCCGTAATTACAAGGCATGTTTTCTGCCTATTACCAGAATATACAATGTGGATTAGGTACAACTTACCTGTAGAATAATTTGCTTTGAATCGCCAAACCTCAGATCCATTTTGAACAGTCATCAATGCTGTGATACTGTTTCCAGGGGAAATGAGTGGATTAATATCCGGGTGCCACACGTATCCAATGCGTCGGGACATACAATCGGGGCCGCCGAACAAAAAGATTGCCGAGTCGGAATGCGCAAACTAGAAGAGAAACCAACGAATGACAGCTTCACTTTGCTTAAGAATCACATAACTTATTTCCCATTAAATATGTGAGTTATCCTGTTAAAATTAAGCAGTCGCACACTTCACCACCGACCGCAACAAAACAAACCATCTCACCAGCTACGCTGAACAAATTTTAGGGAGCTTACTCTGGGTATTATGATGGGAGTGTCATACATTTTCGTCATGGACAAATCAGCCAACTATACTTACTTTAAGCTCAGGGAAGCTCAGAGCAACTTGATTGTTGGAGGGAACCGTAATCTGATAATTGCAGAATTTGGAACCATGATCACTGTCCGGGTACATTGGGTTGTGAATTGTTCCCTCGGTTGTGCCGTTGTGGATTTCGTTGCAGGTTAGATCTGCCTTTATATCTACAACACAAAAACAATAATTAAATACTTAGTTCACGGGTTAGTTTCTAAGGAACAATTTGCCCCGTTCTTTCGTAAGGATTTAAACCGCTTAACTTAATAATTATAGTATTGTTACTAACAATAATAATGTGGCTGCTGTACGCCGTAACTGCTCTTTGCTCCCGCCCGACCACCACCAGTCGAAAGCGGGCTGAGTATACCGCGAGGACGCCTACACCTACGCGGATTCGAACCGGGGACATTATGGTTACAAACCTGGTGTGCAGATTATTCGGCCACCGGCTTAGTGTTGCGTTTCGAGGTATCTATCTTGTGAATATTTAGTGACGTGCATTCGCAGCAATAGCATTGGCCGAGTATTTCTATACTGTGAACCGTTGGTCTAATTCAAATTGCATGCTTCAATCGAAGTACACGTTGGTGATTGCAAAGTCCAACGATGAAGTTCCAACGACTGTTCAAGCGTTGCTTTGGAGGTGTAATGGCCTACTAACTACCGTCCATTTTAACGTCAAGTCAAAGTTAATAACCGATGGAGGAGTGAAGTATCATAACTTCTTGAGGACGAAAGCGTTCGCGCCGCGTTTCCGTGTACCACGGAAGTTTCGGAGGACATCCCAATCGCACTTGGCTCCCGAGCATGCTGTCTCTACCCGTTGAGGGCAAATAAGTTCAAACCCGGTCTTAGAAAGCAGTGTTCTCGGGTTCGCATCGTTTAATTTCCAACCTGTCGTTATATTCGGTAATCAAAGGTTAGCCTAACAACACAAAGCTTCTTCAGGCACATGAATCAGCAGATGACTGTGGTAACATTTAGGTAAGCCAGGAATATAATATTGACGGTTGTGGTGTAAATAACAGCATCTTAGGTGGAGAAAATTTTGCGGAATATTCTTCAGAGTGCACAGACACAAACATGTTCGATATGGGCAGTTAACCGTTCCCCGTTTGTTTATGTCTCATGGAGTCTTATGGCCAGCCTGTGCAATATGAAACTGCGCGTTGTGTAGTGCATACAATATACCAGTGTGCATCATGCGTACAAACCCAAACGGGCTTATACTACGCAGACAGCGCGAACTGGTTAATTTAACTTATGAATGCGATAGACACTTGTGAGGATTACGAAAATGTGAGTTTTGTTGTGTGTTCTAATTTTACTACATGGGAAAGCACAACAGTTGCAGCACACTAGAGATAAGCGGAGCTTTGGAACTGCACGGTTTGCTGTCGATTGCCTGTGCAAGGTCATTAATAAACACAAAAAAACATGGGCCTAGAATTAAGCAATGTAGCACACCACACTCTACTTGTATGGGGTCCGCTATAGAGCTCCGAACTTTGAGCGCTAATTTCCGTTAAAGTAGCAAGTTGGCAATCCAGCTTAAAAGTGGATCGGCGATCCCTAATGCTGGAGCATGGAGAGTAGTATCTGATGGTTTAAACGATCGAACGCTTTCGATACATAACGGTAGATCACAACAAGTTCTTCTGCAGCTTTAGGTGACTCGGTTCAACTAGTGTGTGCGATTAGTAATGTCGTCGTACATGATCGCTGTCATTGGAAACCGTGCTGCTCAGACGTGATGATGTTGCAGATTTCCAGATATCACAGCAATATCTACGCCAGGCATCTTCGTAGTGCATTTTTACCGATTTGTTTAGAAGAGCAAATGTACGTAGGTTATATAGATCCAAGGAAGCCTGTCGCATCGATGCTAACATGAATAATGTGGGTGATAAAATTCCTTTGGCAAAACCCTCATACCGATTAGCCGATAAATTCAAACTACAATACTTGGCGCAATAATGATTGTTCCACAACGAGAGAGCTACAACGCTTTCAAGAAGTAACATTTCTAATAGGAAAAACTAAGGTTGCGGACATCCGGAATTGGCAGATAGCTGACTGATTAATAAGATTATTTAGAAATGTTGGCGTGATATTTAACATAATATGTGGATACTAAATCTAAAGAACGTAGTTAGAAAACGTGTTCTTCCTATTCGGTAAGTATGTAACGCTGTTATAATGCTTAATAGAGGGAACTTACGGAGAAAATGAATCGAATATTACGTTATTCGGATGCGTAAAATTTCAGTTAGATAGCACAGAAAAATGGAAGACATGACCCAAATGCGAGTTGAAGAAATATAAACGAATAATCTGTAGTAGTATAATACAAATGCACGAGCACTAGGTTTTTGATTCTGAATTCAAATGGAAAAGTAACTTTGAATTTCCTATTGAGAAAAATTCTGAGTAGCTTCACCTAGTCGAGCAGCGCCATAGAAAGTTAACCGTAAGACAAAGCAGTTAAAGCACGCGCAGAAGATGCGGTTGGAAAAAAGTTAAGTGACCGATAGTTAATAAAATAGTTTGGAAAATATAGAGCATGGAAGCATGGGGAGCAAAATTATTATGTCTGTTTGATGCGATTTCTCAGTGAATATTGCCGTCGTCTTCTGCCGTCCGGTTGATGCAATTTGATTCCACGATTGTAGAATGGGATTTTTGCTGATGACGGAAGATTCCTATACAGTTTATCGTTCGATGGTTTACAAAAAGGAATAGAGGCAATTAACACTAACCTCCATCGGTGGGTTTCATCGAACTACTTGGGGTAGTCCTGATTGGCGTTGTACCCGTCCCGGGGGTTGTGGTGACCACCGGTATCACTGGATGCCGAGGAATTGAAAGCATTGCAGAAGTAGTGGTTTTGAAAACAGCTTCTCCGTTGTCAAAAATAAACGCGAGTTGTTAGATTTCTCATAGCCGCTGATAGAGATGGCAAGTTTCAGCGGTTGCTTACCGTCAAGATTCTGAGATCATCTTCGATCAGGATCTTTTCTAACCTCATGGTTACCATTGTCAAAATTTGTCAGAAAATTGTGCGTCTTGAAATAATGCCATTGATAATTTCGACCGGCATAACGTTTGATATTGGCTTGAGTGAAAGTTCATGTTGCGTTGCTTATGATACTAACTAATTCGCAACAAATTGTTCTACTCAATACGTTAGCTAGTGAAGTACTCCTATACAAATTGCTTGTGAAGCGGAAAGTAAACTTAGCGAAACGGGAGAAAATTCGCTTCCAGTTTATCTTCAGAAAATTCACAAATCTAGTTTATTAATAATTAAGTCTGCAAGTAATTAAAAACCGGGTATATTTCTTGACGGATCGAGACACAGTCCAACTGATTTTCCTGGTCATTTTGCACAACTTAATTTGTTGTGTTGCCTAATACGTCTTTCAGTTCTTTAGATTCATGTAAGTTCCAAAACTGTTTGCTTGGCTGATTCATCGGTTTCCAATTTTAAATTGATGTTTTATATTACGCTGATATTACTTGCACATAATTCTAAATGTGCTGATATGGTAATACAGCCAACCACATAATCGTCTCACGGGACCTGCTTCCAACGGTCTAGTCCCTCAAACTGGTATATCCCCAATTCCTTCTTTGATCTGACTGTACGCTCCTGTGGCTTTAAAGCAGATTTGCCCTCATCGATTATACTCAACGGTGGGCTCTTTTAAAGTGCAAATATCAATGTATACGGATATGGATATTTAGGCTATATAGCCCGTATCAGCAATCGGTTTTTTGGGATAATGACCGTTATTACTCGTCAGGGGGTCCATGGTACCTTGCGTCACATGGGTACACCGTTTAAATAAACGGTGATGTGTGTGGTGTGTGTGATGGTGTGGGCATGGCATCAAATCGGGCTGGGATTGATTTCTAAGTTATAATAACTGTAAAATTACATGGTTTAAGACGGCTTAACATGGCTGACAAAATGCACTAAAGAAACCTTTTTACCTCAACCTTAGCAGTCTAAAGTAAATAGATAAGGTCACACATGGGTAACTAAGTAAGGAAGTCAGTTGGCCACGGTAGTATTATCGACCGTATGAGTCCTCTTATACACATAATTCCGGCTTCAGATGGAGGCTGAAAATAGCCTCTGCGATGGACAATAGTTGCTTTCGGAATCCTTGCGAGAAGCGTTCAGGTAGTAAGTGGATGACTTTAAACTCATTCGCAGATGCAGCATAGCCACATTCAAGGAGGTGCGATATGATTGAGCTATTTGAGGACCTAATTTCGCCTTTATAAATACATACCGGGATGTGCGCGCGAATGCTATTTGATAAGCGTCTGGTTATGCGACCCGCGTATCGTGCACCACAGAAACAGGAGTATGATAAACGAGCCTTGAACTGAGCAACGAGTGCAGGCTACATTGCAAGGGTTTTGCAAGCAATGGCTTGTTGTGGTAAACAATTCTCAAGCGGGCTGCGAAATAAATATTCTCAACAGCATCTTTCAGACGTCGAGATAAGATAGCAGATGCAGAAGCGCATTCAAATGATAAATGTAGGAAAAGCTGTTTCTTGGGAACAATATTCCTAGGTGGCTTTTGCTTTCCTTCCTTCAGGTGTTTCATGATAAACGTACTGGACTAACCATTTTCTCCAAGGAATCGCTGATTCGCTTTAGTTATTCGTTGACGGTATCCAGAGTGCACATAATGCGCGTTCTGAAGGTAAAATATCGGATTATCCCGGTAATGTAAAGGCTTTGCGCTGTAAAAGTGATTGTGCTGCGCAGTCCATTTATGGTTTTGTGTACCTTTCTGCTGCATGAGTCATCCGAGATGCGGATGACTTCTGCGTCCAATAAATAATCGGTTACCGTTTTCGTGTTCACAGATGAAGCGTAGATTCTCATGTGCTTCATTAAAGGTTTTCAGCAACAATTCCGCAAGCTTTTCGGATTCGCTAAGCTGGAGTTGGTCATCGACATGGCCAAAGTACATTTCACTTCCGCATATTCGCGTTCTGAGTGTGCCATGTTCTAATTTATCTATAAAGTTATCAGCACACAACTGCCCAAAAAGAGATCCCATGACCTTGTTAATCTGACGGTTGACATCAACATTTTTTAGTATCTCCTTTATCAAATCCTCCTGGAAAGTAGCGTATAT